GCACATGAAAACTTAATGCAGGCCCGTTTTGGCTTAATGCAGTCTTACTGGTCACTTTTCTGGAGTATAAACTCAGCCTAACTATTTTCATATTTAATTTTTTCAGTCCAATTAAAAATCAATCTAATACCATATACAATGTTATTGATACAAAATGTGTGTGTGTTTTTTTAATAATGCCACTTTTAGTTCACTTTAACATTATTAGCTTTTTTTCAGTGTGAACTCTCTTTTTTCACTGCCATGACTGCTTTAAGCCCTGAATATTAAATCTTTTAGAATATCAATCAATAAAGATATCTAATTTTTTTTGTTGTAATATTAAGTAGCTAATGATATCTTTTGCTTATTTGTTTGTAAGTATTTATTGCCAAAAAATATAAACAAATGATGCAGCTGTTAACTTGCTAGCAGCAACTTTGTGAAAACAAAAGTTATAAAAAATGATATTTTAGTAAAATACAGTGGATGTAAATACACAATTAATATTGCAAAGAGACTAATTATTTGAGTGAAAATAATGTTATTGTAAAGAATTTATTGATGACATTTTTTAATATGATCTTATAATAAATTTGGAGCAAAAATATGGATAAATTTTTGGATATTTTAGTAAGCATTAAAGACAAACAAAAGTATTGATATTTTTCAAAATATGTTTTTATCATCATATACAGTGGGTGATCAGTTAACAAACAGATCGAATAACAAACACTTTCACGAAAGATTTTTATGTTTGGACAAAGAACACATGATCGGATAACAAACACCCCACAGAACAAACACAAGAAGAAGCGGCGTAAAATAATGAATACTGATTGGTCTTCCCTTGTCTTCGGGCAACAATTCGAAACTTTTCAGAGTGACGTTAACATTGACGCACAACCTGGTATATACTGATTGGATAGTATTCCTCTGAACTTTGAAACTCTCCTTTGTAATTCCAGCTTTTTATTTTTCTGACAAAACAATTCTTTTATGTATTTGCAAAACTGTTGGTAGGCACACGTTAAATTTTGTGTCTGTTTTTCTTTTCAAAACGTGAGAGTATAATAGCAAAGGTAAAGAGTGGGCAGAAGATGCCTAATGTTTCTGGGCAGTATGGCATGAACAGGTCTACAGTAGACAACAGTTCAATCAAGAAAAATACTGTATAATCAAGAAGACCCAAGCAGCTAAAGGAGTAACAAAAATCACATCTGAGAAATAAAGAACATTAAAGAGTTCATAATGGAACCTGAAACAGATCTGACGACAGAACGCCAAGAACTCTTGAATGAAGAACACGAAGAAACTTGATGAGATATGTTTTCTTCTGAAAAAGAGGTTTAATGCCGATATCTGTTATTAAAGATCCTTTGAAGAAGAGGGAGGATGTCAGGACAATGGTCTTAGAATGGCATCCAAACCAGGTTGAGGCTTGGGGATTTCTACAATTGCAATGCTATTAATTACTTACTAAAAATCCTGAAGAAGAGAGAAAATCAATCAACATTAGACAGACTTTTTAACCCTTTCAAACAGAAAAAACATGACTAATAAAAATGCAAGACTGTTTATGTATGTATTTTTATGATTACATATAAATAAACGTAGTAAGAAAGTATATATTTTTTATTTTTGAGGGTCTCCAGAAAGAATTAATTAAATTCCCATTAAAACCTATGGAAAATCGATAATCGGTTAACGAACAATTCGGATAGCAAACAAAGTCTTGGAACGGATTATGTTCGTTAACCAATCACCCACTGTATTTATAATGAGTCTCATTATTCATCCACATATTTACACAAACTAATTTTTATGAAATATCAGATAAAGAAGTTAATTTTATTTTAGAGTTTAGCAATCTTCAGGATAGATAATGAGAAAAATTAGTACAGTAGAGCGTTGTTTATCCGAATCAATTGGGGACTGGGATCAGAGAGGAAATCAAAAATATTCTGTCGCCATGATTCGATCCCTCAACTTTGTGAACATGAAAAAGAAACAATAGCACCAAGCCACAAAACATTCAATAAACAAAGCTCATAAAACTTGCTTATAAATCATTGAGGATGTTTAATGTTGATTTTCTCCAAAATGCTTGAGAAGTGCACTTTCTCCCTTTGCTTAATAAAGGTTGATATTGAGACTTATCCACAAACAATATTATTTGGATCTGTGATGGACACCCCTTAAGGTCTCCTTGTAAGATGCACTTGTATAAATAGAGGATGGTAGAGGAAAGTTAGAAGTAGTGTATCATTGTCTGCCACTGGTAAACATTTCATGAGAAGTCACTATGCCTTGTTGATGACAAAGGGAACCATATGAGCAGATAATAAAGTTTGAATGGGGTGAGTGATTGACCTGTGTAAAGGGGGATTTTATTATTGTGAAATTGCAACTTGTATGGGACATAATGCCACAACAGTGGAAACAGTGAGTTGAAGAGTACCAAATGAGTCACAAATCTGGCAGTGGACAATGAAATGTTCCATCAGCACTGGACAACACACACTTCATCTGTATGACAATTGCAGATTGTACAGCTTCATCTTGACAGTTGGCATTGGAGCATTGCTACAGGTGTGCTATTGTCTGCATCCATAGTTTGCTGATGTTCGCTGCACCATGGATTGCATGCAAGCATTCCTTTGCACAGGATTCCCCTGATGCAAAATCATTGACACCTGTGCTACAATGGGCTCATCAACACAGACACTGGTGTGCTGATTGGCAACTAAACATCTTTTTCTGATGAACCCCACTTCAATTTAGAATACAATGATGGTCAAGTGTGCATTAGACACAACAGAGGTGAATGCCATCTTCCACAGTCCAGCATCTTACTGAACAATTGCAAAGCATGATAGTCTAAAGCAGGGGTGGCCAACTTTTGTGTACATAAGATCTACTTTTTATCTTAAAAATGTGTCACAATCGACTTGTTGTTGTAGGCATAGTTTAAGTGGCGAGGGGTATGTGTGAAATACATACTATGTTTAGATTGGTAAGAAAAGCCACAATTTAATTTAAAACATGAAGAAAAGGTACTTACATTTTAAACATAAGAAAAATTGAAACTCAATGTTGTCATTTTCGGGGACCACCACATCACCCTTCCTCTCTCTACTGTGTCCAACCTACTCTCTCTGTCACTCTTCCCACCTTTCTTTTTTTGGTTTTACGACCGTTTGTCTACATTTCTTATTCCCTTTTACAACTGTATGCAAATGAATTGCACATGGACCGACAAAACCGCATCCTCTCTCAGATGCGGAGGTCCGATATCACTACAGTTACATTTGCGTGTTATGTTCATGCATTGTGTTTGGTTACAAGTGTAACATATTAAGTCAAGACATTGTGAGCAATCAACCAAAATTGGCTTCATGATTGACTTGTTGGCCACCCTTGGTCTAGAGCACTATTGGATATCATGGGTGATCTCGGCTGCTCAGATTTGTGGGTACTTTCAACAGCAACCATTACATCAGGGAAATGATGGAGTCCAAAGTTGTACCCTTTCTTCAATGCATTCCTGGAGCTGTATTTCAACAGAACAATGCCTGTCCACATATTGCTAGGAATGTTCTAGACTTCTTTTCAGCACGACAGATATAGCTTCTTCCTTGACCTGCCTATTCATGCATCTAAAACTTGCTGTTGATGCTTGTCCCACAGCTAATATGGAAGAACTTTAGGTTTGGATAGAAGCACTCTAGAATGCTATTCTCCAAGTAGACATTCAAAATCTGTTTGATTCAATGCCACAACTTATAAATGCTCTTATTGCAGTTCATGGCAGCTTCACCAAATACTGATTTTTGCCATGTAATATTGTTTGATTGCTCTGCAAATCTAATCATTTCTTTGTATCACTACAGGTTACACATGAAATAAATTTCATTCATTTCTGATGATTCCATCATGGTGTTGCAATTTTTTCAAACATGAGTTTAGATAAACTAGCATTAGAGCTTAGATCAAGTCAGATTAAAGACAACAATCATATTTCCATCTTTCCATCAAGGGGGAACTATACTATATAGATATAAGAGAAAGATACAGCAAAATACTCTAATTATGTATTATGTGTTTTAACTTTGATTTTATTTATAGCTAAAGAGGGACAGCATGGAAATGCTCATCCAAAATGCATTTATAAAATAAAATCATAATAAAATTATCCTGGTTTTAGGTTCAATAGTACTTTATTTTTACCATATAGAAAGCCATATACAGAATTTACTAACATCCACCATCATCACCAACTTTCTAATTTCAGTTTTATAATAAGAATAAAGTGAATTAATAATAAATTAAATAAATATAACAATAAACATCAAATAAATTCCATATGATGATGAAGATAATCTCAGCATAGTTTTTTTGTCCCCTTTGAATGTGATTGACTAACTGTCTTTTTGTAAATCTTTGTCAGGCACCTAAACAATGTTGTTGTATTGTATTACAGTATATATACAAACAGTAAGTGATATTATGTACTCATTAGTAAGAAATGACTTGCTGAGAAAAAATATAAGTATATATATAGTATATAGACTAATATGTGGCCTTGAACCATACACATTATCACCATTATGTTTTTTGTGTTTGACTTAATACCAATTCAACTTTACAGTGGATCTCCTGATATGAAATTCCACTATAAGTCAGGGACTATCTGTGTTATTTATTTACACAGATTAATTTTATAAACTTGACCATATTACATCAAGGATCAAAATGAGGTATGTTAATCTTGAAAACAATGCAAAATGTTTTACACTTATATAGAGAATTCTTTTTAATTTGATCTTATTTAATCTTATATCTTCTCAAAAAATAAACCCTATAGATCAGAATGATGTATTGGCTTTAATTTTGTTATTAAGCAAATATAGTTAAAAGTTAATATATTTAAAAAAATATAAATTTATTGCTTGATAAATTTATAAATTTATTTAATTTCAATAATTATATTTTTTAAAGATAACTGCAATAGCATGGTGCAAAGAAGATTGCATGTTATTTTCTTGTAGTGAAGATGGAGCTCTGTATGAATGGAATATATTCAGTGGTGTTAGAGAAAATGAAAATGTTTGGAAAAAATGTTCATATTTAAGTGTAACTGCTGATCCAAGTGGTGGTACTGGATATGTAATAGGAAATGATCAAACTATCAAAGAAATTGCAAATTCAATAGTAAGAAATTTTAAATGTCTAATGTAACAAATATTTAAATTTCAGTTGGCCAGATGGCTGAAGCGATAAAGTGTCAGCCTATTGCTCTGGGGATCTGGGATCAAATCTGGGTAATTGAAAAATCTCAGGAATTTTTCAGGGGTACTCTGTTCTGGATATGTTATGTCCTATCCCTCACCATATGCTGCTCCATTGTGGGCCTCGTTTGAACCCAGTGGGCATGAAAAGAAGGACCTCAGAGTGAAAAGAGTAAAAAAAAAAATATTTAAACTGATCAAAATATTTTAATTTTTCCAGATGATACATTCACTTGACACCAAAACTCAGCTGACAGATTTAACTTTGTCTGGCAAAAATAATATATTGTTTGGGGGCACAGAAAAAGGATATGTTCAAGCTTTGAGATATCCATTAACAGAAAATTTCAGATGGGACAAATATGTTGCACATAACAGTAAAATCACTCAAGTAAATTCCTTAATTCATTAAGTATTTTATAATGTAGGAAATAAGATTTTTTTAATCTTATGGTGATAATCTTTAAATAATTCATATAGGTTAAACTGACTAATGATGATTTGTGGTTAATCACATCTAGTGAAGAAGGTTCTATCTTTATATGGAAATTATGTGATCGAGATGATAGAATATTAACAGAAGAACAACATTTTCTAAGTGGTGATGTAATTATGAAGATAGATGATCTGAAATTAAAGGTACTGTACCAGTTCATATATTTAGTCAAAATTCATTACTTTATATATTAAACAGTTTATTTTCAGATGGAATCAATTGCACATTTGGAAAGACAGTTAAGTGATGTACAGAGAACCAATGAATATCAAATATATATAAAACAAAGTTATCATATCCAAATGTATCGAGAACAAGCTGAAAAATATACCAAAGAAATAGAAGAATTGGTCTCCAAATTAGAAGTATATTAAGCTATTATGATAGAAAAAAATTAGACAAAATATTTTTTTTTATTAATCATACTGTAAAAACTCAACCATAGGACTTGAAATCTCAGAATACAGCTCTTACAACAAAACATAAAGATGATATAGGAGATCTCCAAATGAAACATTTAGCTGAAATAAATGAAAGAGGTATTTATATTTTTTCAATATTAATGTACTGTACATATGAAGAAGATTATAGTCTATTCCACATTTAGAATGCATCTGACCGATTGTGTATCATTCCACCACCATTTTCTTGTCTTTGAATTTACTATGGTGACTCTTATCTACTATTTGAAAATTTTTAAAAAATTTATCAAGTGGCATTGGACACTACATATGTTTTGTTGTTTTTTTCTATTCTTGAAGTTATTCAATGTTTGCACTTTTATTTCCCAAATAAATTATGATATAACAGTCTAAACAAATTCAATAATTTTCTAGTATATATTCCAAATAGTATTTTCAATGAATAATTAATCTGAATAATCTGAAGACAGAACTATTTTTTCTCTTCATACAACTATACACACACACACACACACACTCACACACATATATATATATATATATATATATATATATTGCTGGCGTTATTGTACGCTAGCAGATAATTTGAAATTAATACTGTATTACTGATGTTCTCATTAACAAGTTGTCTGGCTGTTCATCCACGATCTCCTGCTGTAAGTTAATATTGGAAATGGAAATCGAACCCTTGCATGAAACCAAAAATTAGTATTATTGGCCGGAACATTTTAAAACTGTGGTTTATGTAAGGAATTTAGGATCCTGCTTGGCTGGAAAGATTAACTGTAGTGTCATGCATAATTAATATAATTACTCGGGTTACCTGTTGTAGGAGAACTTGAAATTGCGCTACTGACCAGCTTTGGATTGTCTGATTGAAGGCTACTGAATTTCTTAAGAGAGAAACTTAGAAAGGAAAAGAAGTCTTACTCTCCTACTGGATTGAGAAGGCAACAGTTACTATCTGCGTATGAATTATACTCGGACAACGGTACACATCCCTGACAAGAAAGAATGGAAGGTTATAGGATGCACTCCTAAACTCCCTTAAAATATATTTCTGAATATTAATATTCTTTTTAATGATAATTTTGTAAGAATGTATTGAAATATATTGCAAAACGATGTATGCGCATAAGTAAGTCAACCAAATTACGTTAATTTTTTAGAAAGTTTCTATTTGACAAAATAGAAGAGTTTGGTCTTTCTAAAGCAAACGATGCAGAACATAATCATATGAGCTCTTCACTTGATGTATTATAGTAACTAACTGACAACTTCTGATAAACTAAAGCGAGCAACAGTGATTGATTTTATCAAAAAGTAGATGATTTTATGAAAAATTTTATGTATGAATCATCTTCAGTTGTTGGTATTGTGTTACTGGTATCAGAAATCTTTGGTGACAGGACAATACTAAAAGTATTCATAATTCTATCCGGATATTCTTCTCGATTTTAAAAATAAGGAGAGTTTTCATTCCCGATCCCTGTGCCTCATTTGAAAACTCTGCAGACAATCGCAACTCTCGGACTCCTTTCACGCAACGTTTAGTACGGAACCCACCAGCTCAGCACATACGGTATAATGACCCTTTTCCGAATTGTTACCTGCACCATTTTGACCAAAGAAAAAGTTGTCAGGCCTAAACATTTGCCCAAATAGGCCGGAGTCAACAGAATCCATAGTTTTAAATTCAAAAGCATACCTCGCGGCACATATTTGCCTTCTGAAGCTTCAGTGTAATAGACATTTATTCTTTCCAGCCGTACGTAAAACTTAGCACCAATTTGGTTATCGCATTGGCCGCTTGCAAATGAACAATTTATCTCATTTTGAAAATAAAACCTTTTAAACTCAAAAAAGGAACGTTGAAAACACAAAAGGTGAGCTTTTGCGGAGGAAGAGCGAATGCGTAACAAAACAAAAGGAAGAGGAAGAGTTCCTGTTTTCATTCTCTTCATTAGAATCATTTCAATAAAAATAAACATTAGTGATACTTAATACAATTGTTTATAAAAATGTCTTAAATGTAAGGTTCAAACACAACACTATCAACAATTTATCCGTTCTTTAGAACTGTTAACAGGGTAAAAAGAATTGTGACAAAATATATATTGGGTTTCTGTAACGATTTGATTTATTATATAATAGTTAAAAAAAGAAAAAATGAAAACAATATTAGTGCCTTTTTTACATTCCAGTAGTAAAGTGTTTCAAAAAGTAAAATAAATTTTTTGAACATTTATTTATATACAATTATATATGCAACCAGTGGCCAGGCAGTTTTGTTTCCTGAACATTGGGAGTTCTGTCATGTGTTCGCACCTAGCCAGGACAGGCTGGCAACATGAAGTTTTCCGACATATATCATACCTGAATAGAAACAGTTACATATAAAAAGTCCTTCTGGAAGGCATTCCTCCTCTTTGTAACACCTTACATTCAAAGAAGGCAACGTGGACCCAATCTAATACTCATTTCCCCAAAAATCACTTTGGCGCAAAATTAATCAACAATTAATCTGCGCCGGGGTTTTTTTTAACTCTTTCTGCCCTGTGGGCACTAAGAGGGCCTCTTTTTGCAAGCCCATTATGTGTTCGGCCAGGCCCACAATGGGGCTGCCGGGTGGTGAGGGACAGAGCCCGACATATCCGAGCGGACCACCCCCCGAAAAATTCCTGGGGATTTTTCGATCCGTTCGGATTCGAGCCCGGATTGCCAACATCAGGGTGACCTTATATGGCATGTAAAGAAAAAAAACAATTACACGTTTTTTCTATATTGTGTAGAGTCCCTGTTTCATCTGAAATCGTAGCAATTTGCTTCTTTTTCCCCTCCTACATTCCCTGTGTTTCTATGACTGAGATGCTAAACCAATCGATATATATGTATAGTTGACAAACGTGAAAACAAAAGCACACCAATACACTCTAACAGAAATTATTTCAGTAAAACAAAAAAGTGGTTGACACGAGAGAACATGCCATTAAGATAATTACTAAATTTCAGAATTTCGGAAGAATTTAGTTTTCGGGTAAAGAAAAAAAAGCATGAAATAATGTTTAAATTTACTTTCTTTGTTTTTTATTACAAGCTGTGTAATACTTAAAACTTTATAAGAGATTTAAATTTTGTACAAAAATATAAAAAATTATGCAAGGAGGAAGTAATTAACGACTCTCTATACAGAGAACTCCTGACCTATAACCAATAAATTGAGTTTTCCCAAGATTTATAGGTGGATCACACAGAGATTGCAATTTGTCTTGCAAAAAAAGTTTAATTCGAAATGTTTTAGCATTGGGCTGTTTGCAGGAAAGGATACGAAACAAAACAATAAAAACATAACGAAATCGCAATTTTCGCTTTGCAGATTCAGTTGTTTACTGATGTAAGGAAAGTTCCTGATTGTGTACCTCATTTTCCAAATTAGAAGAACATGAACTGTGCATTTTACAACTGACCACAACTACACTTTAGTATTTTTACCAGGTTGATCTTCATAATTTAATATGCTTACTTTTGTGTACTTTTTATGCGCGCCCAGCGATAGTTTCTGTACTAAATTTTTTTTTGCAAAATTATCTTTCGCATCCTTTGTATAGTTTTTGTACTATTTTTTTACAAATTATCTTTTCGCATCCTTTCCATAGTCTAAATACAAATTTTGGTGTCATTACGCTTATTGGTTATAGGTATATTATGCTCTGAATGGGAAAACTTTATTATGACCATCCTCCATATAAAAATGTTTTCACGTGCAATTTGAATGTACAAACACTTTTTCATTTAATACCGGTACAGTGCAATTAATTAAATTTTTTCCTAATATGTTGTTATTAGTTAGCAAGTTTCGATGTTTATACATAAAAATACACAAAATTCGTAATAAGAACTTTATACATGGCTTGATTTAATGGAAATTAATCTTTTATTTTTACAGAATACAACTAAAATACTACAGTAGTTACTCTGATTTTTTGTGAGAGAAATTATTGCAAATAAGGTATCATACAAAACACTTACTGTATATACCATAATAATGTATCAATTAAATTAAGATTTTACGTAAAAATACATAAAGTAATATAGAAGTATAGTAATAAATCTAAGCTTAATATATACATGAGACTAATACATCTGTGATTATTGAATATGCACTAAATAGGATTACTTTGTAATTCTTTTATTTTCTCAAACTAATTATTATTCACAGAAGAACAGATTAAGTCATATTTAAGTATTACTTGAACATCTTTCTTCGCTTATGTATCAATAATTAAATCATTGTCTTCCACGCAGAAAAATAGAGCTGCATTAAAGGCTGTGTAGCTCATAAAGATTTTCATATCATTTTCATGCTTTAAGAACTTATTCCAGAAATACCCTTTCTATTTCTACCAAAGGCTTTCAATCATCATAAAGCTTTGTTCTGTTAACAAAGGAAATATCTTGACAATTTACTTTTTGGTACGACACTTCTCTCAGCTTTAGCAGCCCGGAGAATACAGACTGCAACGATTTGGCTAGCTGAAACGATTAAAATGTAATAATAATCAATATTGGCATTTACTTTTTAATCTGTTAACACTATTTACCGTATTTTTAAAACTGATCGTGGGTTAGGTTTGACGGACAATTGATCAGCTGGGGGTAAGAAGGTGCTGAACATATCCGGAATTAAATACTCCCTTAAAATATCAGATGTTTTCTAAAAGTACTCAACGTGCAATAACTATACATTTACAAATAAATATGGGTGCTGACAAGAAAAAAATCAAATCGAGTTGCCATTATTAAAAATCGTTGAAACACACTGCTTTACCGTTCGGCTAATCTGGCCGTCTTAATAATCATTTTTAATTTATAGACGCCATGCGAACCTATATCTGTATATAAAAATATCTACATATTTATAGAAATACCAGTCTAAGCACACGACGTAGCAATAGAACTGTAACAAAGATGCTGTTTTTTTTTTTTTTTGATGATATGAAACCGTGCTTTGCAATTTGTTTATGCTTCTAACACAATAAAGTGCTATAAATTAAGACACTGTTAAGATGCTGTCACTGATTACATTATTGTTGCTAAGTACAGTAGAGCATCGATTATCCGACCCCCGATTAACCGTCACCTCGATTAACTGACAGCACTGGCTCGACCATGAAAGGGAGCCAGTATTTAAACGAGGCTTAATTTTTTAATTTTTAACGATACAATAGTGATGATTATTTTAAAAAAAAAATTTGTTTGGCTTAACATTGATGAAAATTCAACACGAAGCGACACACAACAGAGACAAATTTCAACATCAGATACGTTAAACTATTTTCTTGTACATATTCGGTTATCCGAAATATCAGTTATCCGAACAACCTCAGTC